TCTTGCATGCGTTCGTCGACGAATGACTTAACCATGATCATGTCCTTCTCTAGACTGGCGTTCTCATCTGCTTGCTTGAAGAGGCTATCACGAAGGCGCTTCAACTCCAGTTTCTTCATGTTCTCGTGTACCATTCTGTCCTAGTTGTATGTTTGTATGTTGTGTATATATATATATATATATATATGTATGTGTGTGTGTGTGTATGTGTGTGTGTGTGTGTGTGCGTGCATAGACGAACGATTGAACGACGAATAACAGCCAGCCAACTAGCGAACCTGTTTCTGTGAGATGATGTTTCTGAGCATCTTACTGGCCACTTCAATCTTCAACTCAATTTCTTGGTGTTTCTTGGAATAATCCTGTTTCGCGGAGCAGATCTTCTCGTACTCCTGTCCCAATCTTCTTAGGTCTTCCTGGAAAATTAAATACACCTTTCATTTTTATTATTTCTCATTATATTTGAATGAAAGTAATATTGTAGTAAATGTGGGTAGTTATTAGTAGTAACTGCTAGTAGTTAAAATTAAAAGATTATCACAAAAGAGTTTAATGAATGTCTTACATAATATGTAGTTTATGGTGATAGCCATAGCTAGTTTTAGAACAAACATGGTTAATGAAAAAATTGAAAAATATACTTAAGAATTAAAGTTGTTATAAATAAACATCTGCAGTATAAAAAAAAAATAACGAACAATGAGCTGTTGGTTCTGAATGCTGATGAATGAAGCCGTCTTCCGCTCTTCGTTCAGTTTCGATGATAACTCCTTCACCCTCTCTTCCAGGATCTCTCTCTCTTCTGAAGGCAGGTCACCATTCATACTACTCAACTTTTTTTCCAACGCCTGCAGACTGTAATCCTAACAAAAGTACAGATGTTACATAAGTTCGTGTGTACTGATGTAATGTAGATGAGTTCGTGTGTACTGATGTTACATAAGTTTGTTTGTACTGATGTGATGCGAATAAGTTTGTATGTACTGATATCATCTACCTGGTTATATATGATTTTCATTTGTTTCATGTTCTCATCTTCCAGCTTCTCCAACCGACTTGCAAGGTTCTTCAAGGCTCCTTCTGAGTTCTTCGTACAAGTATTGAGTTAATTTAATATTTATTAGATAATTAATTAGCGTTAGATTAACTAACAGAATAAATAAACAATAAATGTATATATGTCATTAAGTTAAAATCACGATAAACGATAAAAGTTAAGATAAAATTGGTGGTTTATGTTTCAATGACCAAGATATGATGGTCAATTATTATATAAATATAAACTTAATCTAATTAATTTGATGTATATTTTTTCTTAAAATGTTGAGTATAAACAGCAAAAAATACCACACAAACAAACAAACAAAACAACAACAACGACAACCAAAAATACAAACTTGAATTTGAATTTCGAAATTTTTCTTCTTCTCAGTGAGCAAAAGAACTTGCTGCTGCTTCTTAAAGACCAACTCATTCAGCAGCTTCATATCCATCTCTAATCTTTTCTGCAATTTTAACTCGCTCTCCATCGAATCTTCCAGCCTCTTCTTCTTCAAGTTTGCATCCGCAACCTCTCCAATTACATCCTGTTCTCTCTTTTTCAGCTCTTCCAAACTCGCCTGGATCAATTTGATCCTGAAAGAAAAGCGAGTTAGATGAAGTTTTAAATTATTTTGTCGTTAACGCAGGCGGTAGTGAATTGCAAAAAAATAATACCAAATGAATAACAAGCCGTGTTTTGGCGTCAGTTATAATGAAATTGATTGATTTGGTGAAAACAATTTTTCAAATTCAAACGTATCCATCATTTATTTATTTAATCATTCATTTATTCTTTCATTCATTCATCCATCAATTCATTAACTTATCCACCTATTCATCATTCATTTACCTCTCAGTTTTCTCCTTGATTTCCTTCTTCATAACCTTCACTTGACCCCTGCTGACCTCGAGGTCATTGGCCGTCCTGTCCAGGGTTTGTTTCAGGGCCGTCATCTAGATGAGGTAACAACAGAGGTGTTTACAACGGCAAATTTTCACAACAGCAAAGGTTCGCAACAGCAAATGATGATGGAAAAAATGCAAACCAAGGGAAAACAAAAAAAACAGTTAGAATTAAAAGAACGCAAAAAAAAATCAGAACCAACTTCACTTTTGACATTATCCCGCATGTCGGTGACGGCCAGCAACTCCTGCTTTACTCTCTGCTGCGTTATCCCCTGCATCCTAATTTTTATGTCCAGCTCTTCGTTCACCTTTCGCTCGTTGTCCAGATGCTCTTCCCTCTCTTTTATCTCCTTCTCTCTCTTTGAAATTTCTCTCCTAGTGAGAGAAAGTTTCTGTAGTGGATGATTGTTAAGACGATAATGAGTATAGTTATAATTTGCTTAATGCCATTTGTTCGTCGTCACCGTTTTCTTCATCCTTATCATCTCCACCATCATCCTCATCATCATCCCAATCATCATCATAACCAACCAAGGTTAAATCCTGCATGTCGCCATCTTTTTTTTTCATCTGCTCCATAGTCTTGGTCCATCTGTCAATCAACTCCTTTCGTTCATCATGCACCTTTCTGTAATCTTCAGCAGTTTTATCTATGGCGTACTGTGTGTGTGTGTGTGTGTGTGTGTGTGTGTGTGTGTGTGTGTGTGTGCAGTTATAATGGGCGGCCAGGTGGTGCAATGGTTAAGGCGTCTGGTCTTATTTTTGCAGTGACTAGATTCAAATGCAGAAGAGTGATTCCCGCCGATCACATGCAATGTTTGTGTGGTGTGTGAATTCACGAATAACGATGCCTGTGTGCGTGCGTGCAGATACTACGGAATGTGAGATAGTACCTGACTGTGCGTGCAACATTAAAGAAGAGAACCGCCAAGCCAAAAAAAAAAGTGTTACGTTTCAAGAAATGAATGAGAAATGAAATGAAACAAACTTGGATTGATTGAGTTTCGATAGATTGCATGTCCAGTTTTTTCTTGCACTGCATTATCTCTTCAGTCAGATTTGATATCTTCATGTTGATGTCCTGATGAATGAATAAATGAATGAATGATTGAATGAGTGAATAAATGAATGAATGAATAATTGGATAAATTAACGAAGAAATAATTGAGTGAGTGGGTGCTGAATGGACCTATGTTGTTAGAAATGTGATTAATACGATGAAGATTACAAGAGCAACTATGAAAATGATGACGACGTAGACAATAGAGATGATGAAAATATGATGAAAAAATAAAGTGTGTGTTAGTCTAGACGATCATCATTATAAAAATATGATAAATGTTGTTGGGGGCGGTGTGACTTTGAATCATCGCCATCATCGCATCATCAGCACCAACTCTAATCTTGGCTTCATCCTGTCTGGCATACTTCTCAATGACCATGGCGTTCTCATCTCTCTTCCTGCACTCTTCCAGCCATTCATCCACCAGCTCCTTGTTCACGTTCAGTTCGCCTTGCCTCGATAAAGTCTTTTCAATCACTCTAAATTTCGAATTCTGGATAAAAATATATTAAAATTATTCATTTAAACACTATTTAATGATGAAATAAAATATTTAGTTATTATAAAATAAATTACATTTGTTTATTCATATTAATAAATGTTTGTTTAGATGCTTGAATGGACATACCAAGTAACATAATGATGGATGTGAAAGAATTCATACTCTAAAATAAAATTTCATTACCTCTAAAATATTTTTCTTATCCTTAATGTCTTTCAGTTGCTTTTCAAGTTTCGTTATTTCTTGCTGCAGTTTGCCAACTTCTCTTTCGTTTAATTTTGAGAAATGACTTTCTGTGTTTAATTCATTTGATTTTGCCTGCAACAATGCCTTTGGAGAAGTGTTGTACATTAATTTTTTCAGTGGAAGCAATATGGAAATTGAATGTTATTTATTGAATATGTTAATTAAAATTCGTTTTCATAAATAAATTTTAATAAAAAAACTTAATATTTTATTTTAAAAATTCAAAACTGCATACCTGGCAGTTAGAAATTTCATTTTTGACATTTTTGTAGTGGGTCTGCATGTCAACCAACCTGTCATTTTGCTCATTAAATTCTGATCTTAGTACTGTTACTTGGTTTTGAAGGTCAAGGTACTATAAAATGTAACATTATAAATAAACACATATTACTACTGTAGACACTGATCAACAGTTGTTTTTTTTCCATTAAAAATAACAATATTTCATGACTTAAAAATTTGATTAATAATTAATTAAAATTAATTAATCAATGATAAGATAACAGTGTGTCATGAAAATCATTAGAAAATGTTAATGCATGGAGTATGTGTTTAAATTTGACAAATAAAATTTATTGAAACAGTTTTAATAAATTAATTCGACAAAAAAACACAAACAATGTTTTCAAGTTTTCGATTTTCTTCATTGGCAACAGGGATTTTGAAACCATCATCAAAGCCTAGTGCTTCAACAACTTCCTTGTTCACGTCTCTCAAATTTTTACTCATTTTTCGAAAAAAACCTTTTTTTAAACTTAATTACTAAATGAAATTTTCACAAAGTTTTGTTTGAAACATTGGTTTTGTAAATGAGCATATTTTTTATGAATATCCTTTCATTGACGTGTTGTCAATGGCAACACCAAACATTTATAGACAATGCAAGTTTGGAATCTTTGTAGTTAAAAGTAAATTAAAATGGCGACTCGCGTGCTAAAGTCGTACAAGCTTTTTGTCGGAAATCTTTCGTGGACAGTGTCGCCGGGTAGTTATTTTTTAATGATACAATTTTTTTCATTTTTTAAACAATTCTATTTATTTAAAATTGATTTTTAGCTGAACTAAGAAATTACTTCAGCAAGTACGGGCAGGTGAAACAGTCGCGAATAATATTCGTTGGTCATTTTTTTATTTTTCTCAGTTATTTTTTATTTCAGAACGAATGGTCTGATCTGCTTTTTAATATTATTTAGTAGTGAGGAAGATTTAATTGTACTCAAAATCAGTGTTATAACTCAAACAGTCAAAATCTGGCTGGAGCAGAGGTTATGGATTTGTCACCTTCAATCGCGAAAATGACTTCAAAAGCGTCTTCAATCAGAAAGATCACTTCCTGGGAGGCCATATGGTAAAACTAGCACTTAAATTTTAAAATATTCGCTTCCAGTGTAATTTGTCATTTATATTTTACTTCTCCATCCCCTATCTATCTTCATATTATACATCTTAATTCTTATACGATTCATATTTTGTTTTATAATTTTTTAATTTTTCCAATTAGATCTACGTCAATCTAGCATCAAAGGGAACTCAAGGCCAATTAGATGATTTATCTGAAGCAGATGAATTTTTTGAATGATTTTATTTTTACTCACTTTATATTTGAAACAAGAACTTTCCAAACTTTTTGATCAATCAATTTTATTTTTTAATAAATGCAAAATCAGGTTTTGTTATTTTTTGCTCTATTATTATTAGTGTTCTCGAGCACTCCATAGTCCCTGATAACAGCAGCAACGACATCCATTTGTTCCGCCATTGCTCTTTTCTCCCAAGATTTCATGAAAGAGACAGACTGTGGTTCGTCTTCTCTTTCACTTTTGCTTATGTTTGTATAATCAATGCCATCTATATAGCAGTTAGGCATTGCTTCTTCCAACAGAAGAGCAATTAGTTTGGCATGTTGTAAATGGTTCATGTCTTTGAGGATGAGTCTTTTGAGGCAACTATAAATAAAAAAATGTAAGCAGAATTAAAGACCAGCAAAATTATTTTTATTTAAACCATCATGGAAACTATACTGGCTTAAGAGCCTTAAGAAACCGGCAATAAGTAAGCAGTACAACTAACTTCAACTTAATTATAGTGACTAAACCTCTTTCTGAAACATTCACACATCCACTGAGATCAAGAACAAATAGTGTTTCTCTGAACTGCACAAGTCTATCTAAGCACCAGTCATCAATGTACTTGCAATTGCTTAAGTTTAAGTATCTCAAATGAGGTAAATTTTCTGTAATTTAGTATTCAACGGTGGAAAAAATTTCTTGAAAGTCAAAAAAGAATTAGGATGTTACCCATGTTGTCAAAACTTTCATACATCATGGTGGTGTTGCTTGCATCAATTGCTTTCAAATAAGTTTTTGTGAATGTAATTGGTAGATCCATCTTGCCATCCTTGTCTGCTTTGAACCAACGATCCAAATTGTGAAACTTCACTGAACCTTTGTGTTTCAACACAAAGTGAGCTGCTTGTAAATCTGGTCCCAATTTATTGATTTCTGAAACCTGAGTTCTAAAATTTAAAAAATTTATTGATGATTGTATAAAAATTTTGTGGTTTATTATTAATGTGAACTAAGAACAAGGTTATTATTAAATGAAATAATTATTTAATGAATATTCAGAAATTTTGTCAATTAACAGGTGTTGATATATATATATGAATAAACCAATAAAGAATCTTAATTTGATGTTTAAATGAGAATGGGACAATATTTTAATTATAAAATCACACAAAACCAATGACATTTATATCAACCTTCTCAAACAAGCTCAATAATGTTGCATGGTTACCTGTGGGTGTCTCTCAGTGCATTGAACTCTTTCCTCGTGATCCATGCCCTGATATTTTCAACACTGAGATCAATTGGTTGTTGCAGCCAGATAACAGTGTCCCTATTTATTCCCTTTTTCCAACTATACAGAAAAGTTCTTTTAAGCACACAAATCGGCTGGAATCCACTTTTTGCAATACGAATACATGTAGAACGGCTGAGAACCTGATCAAAATCAATTTTCAATTTTTTGAGTTTTACATACAATTTTAAACAAGTGTGCAAGTACTTACTAACGCAGAAGACATCTATTGAATTTATTCTCATAAAAAAAAAGATTTTTTAACCACAGGCTGATTGTTTGGAATATAAAAGTAGATTGAAGGGTCGGGCTATTTGACAACTTGGATTGTTGGCTTGTTGGCTTACTTACGAAATTGCATGGATTTTAATAAACAGCTAATACAAAATATTTACTTGACTAAATATTTTTGAAACAATATATCTAAATCAAATTATATAATTTAAAATTATTTAAAAAATAATGCTTTTTGTTTAGAAAACACAGTGGCTTACTGAAGCCTTGGTTATCTTACACGAAATTGCATGTATGGATTTCAATTTCAACAAACAACTAATACTAAATATTTATTTGACTTAATATGTTTAAAACATTGTAATCAGTATACTCGATTCCTATCACATAATTTATTTACAAAATAATAAATGCACACAAAACTAACAAAATAAATAGATATATTTATTTATTTTATATATTTATATTTAAGTTTTACAATTGATGTTAAGTAAGGTGTGGTCATGGATATATATCTATGGTTGTGGTCTCACGTTATTTTGATGGCTCTCAGAAAAATTCAGACTTTGTGCGTACATACGTAATATCAATTACTGTGGTTTCAATAATGAATTTATATAATAAATATACATAAAGTAACTAGAATTTAAATGAATCTTATGTGGACCTTAGTGGCCAGTGGTGTAGTTTACTACCCGGTACGACAATGGTTTACTATCCGGTACGGTCGGTATTTATTGATTTATTATTATTATATTATTATTGATTAATATTATTGATTTCTACCAACGTGAACAAAATTTTTTTAATTCTAAACCGCTCCTCCACACGTTTTCCTCGTTACTTTATAAATTCTTGCAGCAAAGTTGAGTAAATTTTATTGAATCAAATTAATTTTAATCATGATTTCTACATTTTAAAAAGTGAATGAAATTTCTTGCCTTTGTTGTTGAATATGTCGTTGTCGCTAACTAACTTAACATCCGTTCGCTGAATTTTTACACATTTTTTAAAAACGAAACATAAAATGTTTTAATTTTATTACTTATTTTATTAATGAACTAATGACTAATACCAATGTTAATTCATGGATAAGTTCGTCATCAGAGGTGGCAAACTGCCCATCAGTTTGCCAGAAGGGGGTACAAAAATTAAAATGAAGCAAGTTACCATCCAGAGTTTGAAAGTAGTTTTTTATTTTTAAATTTATTTAATAAATTAAAATTAAATTTTGTGAAATGTTAATTATAATTAAATATTGGATTGAATTAACTATTATTTATTAATAATATATTAAATTAAAATATTTAATAGCTTCATGGCCTCTCTTTGTTTATCAAATATAAAGTTATTAATTTACAAATTACAAACATTGATTAGTTGTTAACTAAAAAATTTTGTTGTGGCTAACCTAGCCTAGTCACCATAAGTCTCTATTTCTAATGCTTACCTAACCTTATTTTTTTGTAATTAACTTGATCAAGAAGAGGACAATTCCTTTATTATACTTATACTTACATTACACTAGTAACTAGTATTCTTATGTCATAATGTTTGTTTGTAATACTTATACTTACATTACACTAGTAACTAGTATTCTTATGTCATAATGTTTGTTTTAAAATCATGCTACAAAAGTATTTCTAAATTAACAATTACGGCAGTTGTATGTTGTTGCTTGATAGACCTCTTTTTATGTAATTTTAGGACTTTATGTATATATCTGTGTGTACTGTGTATGTATTCATTAATTTTCACGTTTTTTTTAAATTTCCCAGGGTGTTGTTAACATTGATGAAATATTAAAAATCAAAACAATCATAAAAGAGAACAATCAGAGTGATGAAATTCTACGAGGATGTCTTGAAACTCTTAAAGAAAAACTACCATCAAGAGATGTTCTTAAATCAACAAAAATAGGTTTGCATGTTTTCAAGGAATAATTTTTAAAGTTAATGTACTTTATTCACAAGCTGTAATGATTTTATTAAAACCTGAATGTGAAAATTGATTGATTATATTTTATTTAATTTAATTCATTTTTAATATTAATGATTTTTGAAGATGCTTATCTTAATTTTAATAGAAGTGACGATATGAGCATTTTCATTCAGATGATGATATAAACTGTTAATAAATTTCAGGCTATGCTGTAAAATCATTGACAAACCATAAAGACCAAAAAATATCCAGTTTAGCATCAGAAATATTGAAAAGTTGGCAACAGTTTTATGCAGAAAAACTTTCAAAACCACTAATTGATGTCAAATGTGATCATAAAACAATGTTTTCAAGAAATATTGCTAGAAAACATCTAACAAATGCTTTAAAAAGTGATAGTGCAGAAGTATGTTACATCATTTATGATAGTGTTGCTAGTTTTACATTAATCTATCGCTCAATATCAAAATATATTGTAATTTTATATATAGTCTAACGTTATTTTGTATTATTTGTGCTTTGAAACTTTAAATTTTTTGCCCAGATGGAAGTATTTGCTGTTGATGTAGCTACGGAAATTGAAACATCTGTTTTCCAAAAGAAAAAGTTTATTAATAAAGAGTACAACAGGCTGATCAGGAAGATTGTTTTCTTACTTCGCAATAATAATTCATTGAAAGTTGATCTTCTGAAACATTCCATTTTGCCGCATCAGTTGATTGACAGATATGAAACTTAATGTGAATAGTTTTGTTTCGTTTTTATTTTCAATATTCAGTAAAATTAATATCGTGTTTCGTTGATTAATACAGTAATTTTGTTTAACGCATTTATATAGAATAGTTAATATTCGGTGCGTGGATATTTACTCGTGGTGTTATACAATTATATTCTATTTTATTCTATAGTTATATATATAGTTCTATATATATATATATATATATATATATATATATATATATATATGACCAGGGTATTATACTCACACATGTAGAGTATACATAGAACCAAGGGGAGGCCTATTTACCATTATACAACACTTTCTTATGGGTTGAAGCAGGGATATGCAAAGATTTAATTATTTTCTGTAATGTCGATTTTATTTGTTTAAATTTATACCAAATAAAAGTAATTAATTACCATATTGAATAACAATTTAAAAAAATAACATTTTAAATAAAAGCAATATTCCGTAATTAGTAAATAGATACTATCTTTAGATATATTATTTTATATTATATTAGATATAGATTTTAGATATACTATCTTTTGACTCGAACGATAAAAAATCACCCCCCATCTCCCCTCCAGAAGTAAGCTCCTTGTTCGACCGTTGAAAGTGAGCGAAGGCCGTTATATTTATTCTAGTTATATGTATCAAACAGTATCTTATTGAAAAAAATAGTATCGTAAAATGAATAAAGATACTTTTTTTTAATTTAAAAAATTCTCAATTTGATTTCATTGCGATATCGATGATGATGATGATTGTGACCTGACTAATTAAAAAACATCAATAATATTTATAAAATATGATGGGTATATCGTTGAGAAATCGTTGGGGGAAATGACGTCATGTTAACAACAGTAGTTATTTCACTAGATGGTAGTTGATCAGCCTGTATAAAGGTTTTTTTCAATTCCTATCAAATAAATTTAACCAAATATGATACGCAGGCAATATATATATATATATATATATATATATATATATATATATATATATATATATATACGTAGTTATAATACATTTATAATATTGTATTTACACATTCAAATTGTACAATTGTGTTATGTGTAGTTTCAAATTATTTTGAATTCTCTCGGAAAAATTTAAACTTTTTACTATATATAAATATATATGTAAATGTTACTTTTATAACTAAATAATTAAAAAATTTTCAATTTGATTTCACCGCGATATCGATGATGATGATTTTGACCTGACTGATTAAAAAGCATCAATGAAAATTTTTAAAATAGGATGGAAAATTTGTTATATTGGGATATGCGTATATAAAGCGAGCAAAAGTTTAATATAAAAACGCTTATAAATCTACGCATATTGGCTCAGCTTGGCTTGGCTTGGCTCGGCTTGGAATCGGATGTTAAGCAAGGTGTGGTCTCAAACTATTTTGAATTCTCCCAGAAAAATTTGAACTGCGTGCGTACATATATAGCACTGATTACTATTGCTTTTATAATGAATTTATATATATTATAAAGTAACTAGAATCAATGTATACAAATATTTAATAAGATTATATGTTTATATAAAAAGCAATATAGCAGATTTAACCAGCCAATCAGAAAGTTTCGAAGGCGTCGATTTAGTACGGTTAGCATTGTGGTTAAGACTGTATAATAGTGTAGTACAATAGTGTAGTAGTATACTTCAAATAAGTTTTTTACTGATGTGATTGATTGAAATGATGAGAATGTATGGTTGAAACGAGTATAAATAGGAGCTGAGACAACATGAAAATCAGATCAGGCATTATGCCTCGCTTGAAGCAGTCTGTCTGATCTCATTTATTTTATTTTTATAATATTTTTTATTTTTATTTATTTTATTATATAGAGTTATATAGAGAGTTTGCATTGTGTGTTTGTATGTTGTATTTTTTTATATTTTAGGTTGGTTCTATAGCGGTTGCTCATAAATACATACATACATACATACATACATCATGTTTGTTTGTGTGGTAGTATTTTATGTTCTGTTTTACTCTTTTTTCTCTTTCTTCATGAGTCTTGAGTTAAGTTAATGAAACATAGGTAGGTGAGATTAAAAATTAATTTATTATATAGGTAGGCTAGGGCATAAGGTAATTTAGTTACATAGGTAGGTTAGGGACTTCTATTCTTTTATTCTACTCGGTGGTTTGTTTTTTGTTTTGTTTTGTTTCACACCATACAAATAACAGGTACGCGGTGTTCCTGTTTTAGTGGGTT